CCTTGTCTAATGCACAGAGCTGATACGAGGATGGGGAAGGAGTGACCGGATGTGTGTCGCCTGATAGCATTAACCAGCAGGTTGCTGAGCCAGATGTCCCTTCCTCAGCAAGGAAGCGCAGATAAAAGTACAATGCGCCTGGCAAGCCCAGGGTACATGTGTCCCAAGACGTTTTTCCCTTGAGTATTTACAGTTTATTTGAGCTGTTTCCATTCTGCAGACTTTGTATACACAACAATAGGACAGCTCATGATGTCTGAAAGGAAAAAAAGGTTTATAGACCATGCACATCCCCTACCCTAAAGCCTTCCAGGGGAAACTCCCAGTACCCTTGGAACTTTCCTGTCAGACTATTATCCAATCCAGTGCTGTTTCCAAGCAGGAAATATGATGTTCCAAAGACAACTTGACCTCCTGTTTGAAAATGGGCCAGGGTGGGGGGTAAGGAGAAGGGAAGACAAAAACAGCACAATCCAAGTCTATTTAATTCATAGACCCAATCACAAACACAAACAAGTTAATTTTGTTAAGAATGCACAGGAACATTTCACTTAAGACAAAAATCCCAATTATTTATTCTCTTCTGGAGTGCTTCTTATGCATCCTTGAGTTTTTAAAAGTTCAAGTGTTGCATTAAAAAAAATCAACATAATTACAGACAGCAGTCCTTAAACAAGAATATCCTGTTTTGTTTCCTGCATACTCACTGGGGTGGCTCATCTGAATCCTTGACAACATCCAACTCCAAGAGGAAAACATCAAGACTGCTTGCTGAGCCTGGATTTTACAGACAGCGCCTCCGCGGTGGGGCTGTGGGCCCCAACGTGTACCACCACAATCGGCCTATTGTTTACTTTCTAGTCAGAAAAGCGACCCTGCTTTTCTTCACTGGGTATGGTCTCCATAATCCTAACCGTCATGTTCACTCAGCAGTAAGCCCAAATATATGCTTCCCCGAGGAGTCCCAAATACATGAGATAGATTAGCATCTCTGTGGCTTGATGCGATCTGTGACAGATTCCACAGCAATAAACATTTTAAAGTGTGGTCAGTTCTAAATTATTTGCTGAAGAACAATTTTTGTTCCTGAGGTGGAGAAAAATCTGCAATAACTTCTGAGTAGTCAACACCCTAGCTCAGAGATAATACAACACCCCCAAGCCCCAGCCCCTCTACATTTCATTCTCTTTAAAGAGAGGGGGGAAAAAGAAGCCCAATTGTGTGCTGATGAATTAGAGAACTTCGTGAGCATTCAAGAAATACACATGCCACTACAAATTAACCATTAGCCGGGCAAGGTATTCATCCTTTCTGTCAGATTCTGTGGGAAGTACGCCTTATTAGCATTGAAGCCAGAGAAGTCATATATCAGTCCACATTCACTTATCCTACAGAAACGAACAGGCGATCTCAGTTCTGCAAAAATAAATCGCGTCGTTCTTCTCTTGTCCCCGTTGCAATCCTAAAATTGAAAATCACCAAATGAAATCCTGTTTCCTCCCTGCTTCCAGTTGGTCTCCGTGTTGACAATGAAACGCGGTTTTGCATTTTAAATCAGTTCCATCATAACCCTGACACTGATCACAGGGCTGCTAATTCGCGCCGGCTCCCGGCGCCGCCCCGCCCCCACTGCACCACTTTGAATTTGAATGGCACCGGGAGAATCTCTGGGGCCACGTTTCTGGCCCCTCAGAGGCAGCCTCTCCCCCGCTTTCAGCTGGTTTCCTGGCAGGTTTCACGGGGATTTGTGGTGAGTGGCAGCTCTGGAACCACTTTTCATCCTGTCAGGTTGTGGTCAGGCTTAGTGGGGTTTCTTTGTTACGCTGGCCACTAGTAGTCAACTCCCTTGAAAATATCTGGTTTTCTCTTTTTCCCTTAAAGAAAGAAAAGGCAGCTCCTGACTCCCTTCCCTACCCTTAAAACAAACACAGCACAAACAGGGATGACCCTTTGAAAACTTGGGGTGCGGGGAGAAGAGGGAGAACCCCAGATGTTCTCCATATCCACATTTAGTTTTGATGTGAGGCTATAGAAGGTCTTGGGAGAGCCCCGTTTCCCATACCTGTGCGGCCGGCACGCTGTTTTATGAAGGAATCAGGGATAAATGTTACTAGCACCTTTTCATGTTAAAATATAACAGGCCAACAAGTAACATGTGAATTCTAGAGCATAGTGTCTCCTTTCTTTCAGAATAAACTCGGAAAAATAAGGAGTGCCAAAATTAGTAAAATTAAACAAACAAATCCTGCGGAGGGGGTGAAGATGGAGTTTTCTGTGGACCCAGAGGGAGATCTGGCGCTTGCTGCAGGTCTTAAGCTAGCGCTTAGCTGCATTTTGTGTTTCAAGAATCGGTTTGGAGGAAAAAAAAATAAGGTTGCCAACATTTTATATTGCCAAGCTAGGCTATTAAAAAAAAATCACCACCACCAACTAACATTGAAATCTTACATCATTTCTAAAAGAAAGGACATGTTAACATGAGTGGTGGCTTTGGGAGAGGCACAAAACCATAATCTCAGAACACCAAACGCCAGCCTTTCCAAGAAGGAAGAGTTGGCAACTTGTGCACCTGCTTGCCACAAAGGCCTTGGGAAACAGCCAGTGCCTGCAATACACCCAGCCCCTTCCCACCTTCCTGGCTTTGCACGGCCCTTGCTTTGCCTGGAAGTCTATTCCCTGGGCTATTGGCAGAGCTCGCCACTCAATCTAACCACAAGAGGCAGGGCTTCTTTAACCGGAGCGTTGCAAACCCCTCTCTGCAGACCCCGTGTCTACACATCCGCCCCTTCCATCTTCCATTTCTGTCCATTCCCTCCCCCGCCTCATTTTCCTCAAGTACTTCGGACTGTTTGACTTTGCAGTCTGTGTTTGCCCATTGTCTGTCTTCCCGTTAAATGCTGGGCTTTGTCTCATTCGTTCCTCTTTTCTTCCACTACCCAAAACACTGCCTGACACACATGAGGCCTTCAATACTTATTTGCTCCTCTTATAATTGTGTATAATTTCATAGTGATTATTTTTCTCATTTTATTATGGACAAGAAAACATATCCCCAGAGCCGGCACTATTGGGTATATGGAAACCATTGTTTTAAGAAAGAGACTGAAGAGACCCTCCTGGCATAGATGATAGCATTACTGTAGGCAGTGAATTTTAATACGTACCTTCTTTGCTGCAACCAATTTCAAATAGTCAAAGCGAGAACTAGCAACAGTTTGATAATGCGCTAAGTTGTGGTTGACTACTGATTTAAAGAGAAGAAATATTCTTAAAACAAAGTTTGTTCAGGAATATACATTCCTTTCTTCTGCAAATTATCAAATTATACAGATTAGGCTTTGTGGGAGCAGAAAGGTGTGAGATACTTCACTTACCTTTCGTAAGCATCACGACAGACACTTTTGTAACAAGAGACAGGTTTACAAGAGAAAATTTCAACAGATTTATTTAATTCAAGTTTTATGTGACACGGGAGTTTTCAAAAATGAAGACCAAAGAACCAGGGAAAACTATTTTCATGCTTAGTTCGATGAATACACAGCCATGTAGAAATGTGAATGGACTAACAGGTCTGATATGAGCTGATGATATAGACTGATGGCGAAATCCAGCAAGGGCTGTCCAGATTCTTCTTGGCTTTTGTGTAGCATTTTTTTTTTTTCCTTCCAGGAAAGGGGCAGGACATCTCTGGAATGAGGGTCTTAAGATCTACCATGAGACAATGTAGGTTAGAGAAATCTCTCTATAGCCGGCTCCTACACAGAGAGGCAGGGGAAGTTTAGAGTAATATTTCTAGGTTCTATGACCCTGCTTTGTGGAAGAGAAATTCTAGTTTCAATGAATCACTTTGGGGGTGGGAGGTAGGTGGGCAACAGGTCAGAGAGAGACCTCTGGAGGCGTTTCCAGTGTCCTGTTTGAAGTACTCTGTGAGCCGAAGTGCAGGACATTGAAGTTTGATTTTCTTGCTTCTTAACCTTGAATTGTGTATGCAGTTTTTCTTAAACAAGAGAATGTTTACCTATTCTTTGAGTGCAAATATCTGATGGATAAAAAAGATAAGTGTAGCCTCCAAGTGACAGCACAGTGAAGTATTATCTCTTGGAATACTCACTGTGAAATGGTGCAACAGAGAAGTCAGGGTCACAGACAAGCCTGACTACAAAGAGGAATAGATCATTATAGAAAATGTTGGCTTTGAAATGCATTATAAACAATTCAGCAATAGAGGAGGCAGGTTGCAAAAATGTACATTTCAACTTGTTGGGCCATTTAAGTTCACGAATGCATGAATGGGTGGTTTATACTTTTTTCTGAAAGAAGAACTACTTCTAGGTGTTGGGGTTCAGAACATGATATCCCCAAACTATGGTTCAGAACATGGTACCCCCAAACTATGGCATCTTGGCCTATGGGACATTTTAAATAGAAGGAAATTGAGAAAAATGTTGTAGCAAGAAGGTCCTCTCTAATCTTCCTGTGCCTTCCTTCCCTGAAGCGAGGTCGTAGGGAAACTCTGAGCTACTTCCCTGCTGTACATAAGATCCTCATGTGAGAGGAATTCTGCCCTGTATCTGGAAGCAAAGAAGAAAAGAAAGAAAGAAAGAAAGAAAGAAAGAAAGAAAGAAAGAAAGAAAGAAAGAAAGAAAGAAAGAAAAGAAGGAAGAAAGGAAGGAAGGAAGGAAGGAAGGAAGGAAGGAAGGAAGCCTAACAATTCTCCCCTCACCCCCACAACCCATTTATTATCTTTAGGTCATGTTCCCTTCTCCTCCATTCAGGTTCCACATGACTGTCCATTCTTCATCACATCAGTCCATAAAAGCACATGCTTTCCCCTGGGTCCTTGGGTCTTCACGTCTGAAGGCTCCATGTCACATAAAACTTTGGTTAAATAAATTTGCTTTGCTTTTCTCTTGTCCATCTGTCTTTTGTTAGAGTTGTCAGCCATGGACTTTGTGATAAGTGAGAAAAAGATGTTATTTTTTTTTTCCTACGGTTTCTAGTGCCTGCTGTGGGGTGATTGAGACACACTACTCCCCCTGAAGCCTACAGTTAAGATCTGGGACGACTGAAAAGCTGGAAAAAGGTAAGAATTTTTTTTCCTCATGACCACCTGTCCCAGATCTCACTACCTGCATCGCCTGGTAGAGTACAAGGCAACATTTCTCCTTGTCCAATTCAGATTAAGGAGAAAAACATTTCTATGCTCTGGCTTTTGTCATGGTGTCAGGCATACAATTTGCCATGAGTGAGCAAAAAAGTTACTACTTCTTTCCTACACAGGTATGTGGGCTCATTTTGGACTGTGTTTTTCCCTTTGAAAAAATAGAAGATGAGCCCAAGTGTACTTAAGGCAAGGTTAGCAAAGATTTTTCTTTTTAAAATCGGGTTCAATGTTGGGGCCGGCACTGTGGTGCAGCAGGTTAGGCTGCTGCTTCCAACGCCAGCATCCCATATCAGAGTGCTGTTCCCAGCTTCTCTTCTTCCACCCAGCTCCCGCTAATGTGCCTAGGAAAGCAGGAGAAGATGTCCAACTACTCGGGCCCCTGCCACCCATGTGGGAGACCTGCATGGAGTTTTAGGCTCCTGGCTTCAGCATGGCCCAGCCCTGGCCTCTGCAACCATTTGGGGAGAGAATGACAGATGGAAGATCTCTTTTTCTCTTTGTCTCTACCTCCCCCACCCCCATTACTCTGCCTTTCAAATAAATGTCTTTAAAAAAAGTTGAGTCCAATGTCTGCTCTTGCTGCCACATTTCTGAGTAGTCGTAATAGGTAGTAGCAATTTGGTATATAGATAAATTAGAACCTGAAGAAAATGATAGCTTAGATCACAAACATGCCAGCCGAGTCGCGCTTGTGTGTGTGTTTTTGTATGAGATATGGTCAACTTACTTGTAGGAATTGATTTCTTTTATTTTTCTTTTTGCCTTTTAAAGTGTATTTCTACTATCAAAAAAAGCAATTAACAAAAAAGAAAAAAGAGAGGAGGACAAAGAAAGAAAAAAACCCAGGAAGAATCAGCATTTATATTTAGTGATCTGAAGTTTGAGCTCTGACGTGGCCCAGAGCAGTGATCTCTTACTGGATCAATCCTCTTACAGATAAAATAATAATTTGGGAGCAAAATAAAAAAGAAATTCTTGCCTCACTGTAGAGTGAGGAAAATCAAGCAAATTTTGCAGGGAAGCTGATTTTTGTATGAATAGGACTACAAGGTATTTGTACCAGCTTTAGAGTTGGCACCATTTTTGCACCAAAATAAGCTTATATCTTAATTTCATCTTGCACAGATTTTTTTTGAAGTACCCTCATATACTGGCTATTGTTATAATGATGATGAAATAAGTGGAGAATATGAACATGCAGATCTTTGAACATTTCATTCTCTGTCTCTCCTCTTGTTCTTTAATGCTAGAGAATGCAATGGAGCTGGGGGATTTACAAAGACTCTGCTGATTAATCCATCATATTCTGACAACTGAATTCCCAGAAACCGAGTATTAGACTTTCGCACAAAGTGACGTTTTGACTGGAATCTTTCAAGTCTAAACATATGAACGGTTGGGAGGAGGACTGCCCCATGGTGGGTCCTCAAAGAAGAGTTGCTACAGGTATTGTTATTAATTGCTTTCATAAGAAAGCAAAGATTTTTGTAGTCTGATCTGCCAATTCCAGCATCTCAATATTGCAACAGCTTTGTCAGAGGCTATTTTGTAAGAGGTAAAGACAGTAGGTAGTTGGGAAGACCTTTACATGCAATTTTACATACAGTAGGAAAGTATACAACGTTAAGTGGCTTAAAAAAATCAAAAGAGTGAGATTTTAGACCATCACCTACTCAGTGATGAACTTGTCTTATTTTAGGACATGGAGATTAGAAATAAAGCCAGGCTCAACTTCCTTGAAACAAAAATGTGCATTTCTTTTTAAAAGTTGCCCAGGCACAATGCTGGAGGCAGTGACTTTTGATAAAATTATGTTGTGGACAGAGTAGCTGGAGAAAATGCTCTTAAGTATTCAACGTGGGACAAAAACCTTCCTGGCACTAAGAAGTCTCAATTGGCTTTTCAGCTGCACTGTGGTTTATTGTGTGCTTTAAATCAGCTCTAAGACTACACTACACACCACTGTGTCTGTTAGAAAATCATTATGGTGCAATTAAAAGCAATGTTGTTTCACAGAGGAACATGGAGTTCTCCTCTGTGTCTGACTGCTGTGCACTTCCTTTGGGCCTCTTGTGATTATCTACACTTGCGATGGTCAAGAGCTACAGCTGTCGGGAAAACACTCAACAGATGGCAGTTGTGGGGTGTTGCGTTATCCTTTTTGGGATGCTCTCTGACACCCGAGCTCGAGACTTCCATCAATGCTGGTGTGCAACTGACTCCTTCCAAGAGCACAGATCTGGAATGTTCAGCGACAAGATTAATCTTCCTCCAGAAATGAAGAGAAATTGAAGCTTCCTCAGAAATGAAGTGTGCAGCAAAGTGCTAAGGCGTATTTCGCTCTGGCATTCTTTTATTTGTATGTAGATAAGCATGACTAAATATCCAGAAAGTCCGAACCACTGGTAGATAGAACACTTTTCCCTCAGAATAAGGGTGAGGCAAGATTGATCAGTTCTTTTATTTTTGTAAAGTTCATTTGTTAAAGAGTGGCTTTTTGTTTTTCAAAAAGAGCAATTGAACCTTGGCCTTGGTAATGACAGGACTTGGTGAATGACATACACTGTTAGCCTAAGTGGTTTAAGAATTAATTAAGTGGTTTCATTTTACATTTCAGATAGCATTTTTAACATAAATACTTAAGCCTCTATCTTCATTATTTATATGGTACATATATATGTATAACATTATGAGGGTAAGAAGAGGAAATTGACAAAGCCGCTGAACAATATGCATAATTGTGTTAGATTCTGGCCTGTCTGGATGCATATATTTTTAATACAGTGGTAGACAGTATTGGATAGTAGGTGTTTGTCCTGTTTGTGTGCTCTGGAAAGGGCCTGGTCATGGTCGTCTGCCCACTGAGGCCACCTTCCAGTGCTGTGAAATGATATGTGGTTGTCTGGAGCTTGACCTGAACATGAAGGTAGCCCTATAAAATCTTACAAGCAGGTAGCATGGGGACAAATGTGTTCCATAGGGTTAAAATTTAAGTTTTTTTTTTTTAACTTTTATTTAATGAATATAAATTTCCAAAGTACGGCTTATGGATTACAATGGCTTCCCCCCCATACCGTCCCTCCCACCCGCAACCCTCCCCTTTCCCACTCCCTCTCCCCTTCCATTCACATGAGGATTCATTTTCGATTCTCTTTATATACAGAAGATCAGTTTAGCATACATTAAGTAAAGATTTCAACAGTTTGCTCCCACACAGAAACATAAAGTGAAAAATAATAGATTATTTTTTTAAATGATGATGAAATCAGATCAGACCTATTGTCATGTTTAATCCCAGTGAGAGTCAAGTTGGGAATTGATAATTTCTTCTTCTTTTTTTTAAACAGAAGATCAGTTTAGTATACATTAAGTAAAGATTTCAACAGTTTGCACCCACACAGAAACACAAAGTATAAAGTACTGTTTGAGTACTAGTTATACCGTTAATTCACATAATACAACAAATTAAGGACAGAGATCCTACAAGGAGAGTAAGTGCACAGTGACTCCTGTTGTTGACTTTACAAATTGACACTCCTGTTTATGGCATCAGTAATCTCCCTATGCTCCAGTCATGAGTTTCCAAGGCTATGGAAGCCCCTTGAGTTCTCCGACTCTTATCTTGTTTAGACAAGGTCATAGTCAAAGTGGAGGTTCTCTCCTCCCTTCAGAGAAAGGTACCTCCTTCTTTGAAAAAATTTGTTTTGTCAAAATCATTGTCTTCCCTTTCTCGTGTTAGCAAAATCATGTCCCGCAGTTCCTGAAGATACATATTTTTCCTAAAACATGACACTCTGATATTTTCTACTTGTCTATTCACGTCCCAGAAGAGGTAAGCACATGCTGTATATGTTTTCTGTAAATATACTTGCAAGTTGGTCTCACTGGCTAGTCTCTGAAAGACTTCCAGCGGATAAAGCACACGGACTGGGAAGCTATGAAGAGGAGTCTTTTTAGTGAGTGACAGCACGGATGGGCAGGGGACAGGCAGAGGCTGCAGGAAACGTGATTCATGGCATAGTATGGAGTTGAAGGACATTACATGCATTTGGAGACAAAACCAACGTTTCACATATTCTAAGAGCTTAAATAACTGGGCATTATGATAAGTACTTTATATGTATTATTTAACTTGATTTTATTCTCATATGTGTGAAATAGGCATTATAACTCCCTGTATATGAAGAGAAAATGGTGGCACAGCTAGGAATTCTCGCAAGGTCACATGATAAAATGATTTTCTAGATTCTTATAATTTCTTCAAGAAAATACTTGTTCTTCCCTAAACATTCATATGATTTTGTGCATATGAAAACTTCTACAATGTTACTATTGGATGCAGGTGCTAATTAATAAGACAATGGAAAATACATTTGTTTGCATAATGGAACACATCTTTATACCTCTTAAAATAAAACAATTCCCATCAAAAAAGAGCTTTGAGAGGTGTAAAAAGATGTGCTCTTTCAAAGGATTCCAGTATGTCTGTAATCAAGTAGAATGTTAGTGAATGATTTTCCCTGAAAGTTCCATTTTTTTATATAAAGATAATTTTAGGATTCACTTTAACAGAAATGAAAGGAAAAGTCCTTCTTTTGTTTGATGGGTGGAATGAGTCTGTGAGTAAAACTATCAAGAAGGTTTTATAAATCTTTCTATAGTTTACAGAAAGGAATATGCTCCCAGTGGAGACAAGTACGGCACTGATGTGAAAGGATCACATTTTCAAAATAAGCGTGCCACAAAAACGACTGGGAGAACATAACCTGCGTGATTAAGTTCTATGTTTTTCTCCTTGAATTTTGAAGGTAGCAACTCCTGAAGTCTGACACGAGAGCAAGATGCCTAATTGGAAACCTAAAAGTGAATTGTAGATTTTCACTTGCTCTTCCATTGCAGGTGAAAAGAACGTGGTCGAGCTGCTCTGTGGTTACCACTGCATCCTCCCACCCCCAGCATCAGCATCATCCCGTGCTGCTGGTGTCCAGGAGGACATAGCGATGACAGCACGAACAGTGGTGTGGACAAGACAAACCCACAGTGCATCAAAGTGCCACGAAAGCCCGTGCAGCACTGAGATAAAGACCACCGTCTTGTAGCTATTTGCCGTGATGAGTACACTGCTATAAATCAGCCATGCAGGGAGAGGGTTTTTATTGCCATAATTGCCATCTGAGATTATTTTGCTGCCTAACTCAAGTAGATGAGAAGAGACTAATGTTTGTAACAGTCCTGAAACCCTACCTTAGGCATCCATTACTACACGATTTTAGTTTTGAATCAGTTCAAGCCTTATTTCCAGTTATGATGTTCACATCCCCATAAGTAAGAGGAGGATCAATAGTAAAAGGAAACCAGCAAATTGTAGGCTTTGCAATAAATCTAAGGTATTACGTGGACATAATTTAAACAGTTGTTTTTCTTTTCCTGAAGAATAAACACATAATAGGAGGGAAAAAATGAGGCTCTAAAGGGATTATGCATTCCTAAATATTTTATAGCTGTGTTAAATGCAATGTTGTGCTTTGGTTCCACAGCTGAATATTTGCTGATGTTCATTTACTCACCAACTGCAAGCCCAAAAGACGCTATTTGAGGTTTTTTGTGTGGTTTTAGTCTTGGCCCTTCTGTCAGTGCTTCACTGCATGATGGTAAAGAGCAACTCTTTGCATGTGAGAAGACAGATGTTGGTGATTTAAGCAGGAAAATGCACCACAGTGCTTTTACTCAGCTGATACTTAATGATTTACCATTTAATGTAGTTCATCTCTCATAACCCTGAGTTCAAACAGAAGCAGCTGCTGTTAGGGATGCAATAACATTGAACTTCCCACCAACGACCTGGGAGAGCTTCTTCTGTAGCTTTAGCTCCTGGGCTTCTCTGGCCTTTCCCCTAAGCACGACAACTGAGGGGGAGAAACATTACTTCCCGTCAGTGGAGTCTTGGACAGAATGTATAATTATGCCAGATAAAGATTTTCAAATCAAAACTCCTTATATGAACATCACTCTGCAGCTGTGGAGGACCAAACAACGCACTTCGTCTCATTAGCGAAAGAACATGCAGGAAATTCAGAAAGCACATGGAAAGTCATACCTAGTTGAAATCAATTCAAAGGGTAGAGGTGTCCCTGCTTTCAACCCCAGGTGAGAAACTTATTTTCTTGTAATTTCTATGTGACTTCACTAGTATGGGGGCTGTTTCAGTAAGAAGCTATCTAGGTGGCTTTAGAGATATAGATGTTTAGATGGATGGACAGACAGATGAACTGCTTAAAATAAAAAGCCTCACTAAAAGCTAAAGGCCTACAAGACAGACATCTAATGAGATGAACTCTTTTGGAGAGAATGGTATTCAACATGCTGATGAGGATTGTGGCATTAATATGATGAAGTAGAATGCTTTAAATGCATATTTTCCCTATTAGAATCAGCCCTTAAGGCATTCGGATCTGGCTAAAAAACCCATGAGAGTATTTCAGGTATGGAAATCCAAGACACTCTGTCAAAAAAACCAACCAACCAACCAACCAAAAAAACCTAAATGAAAGATCTCTGTGATGAGATCTCAGCAGAAAGAACGGGCCATCAAAGAAGGAGGTACCTTTCTCTGAAGGGAGGAGAGAACTTCCACTTTGACTATGACCTTGTCTAAATATGATCAGAGTCTGTGAACCCAAAAGGCTTCCATAGCTTTGGCAACTCATGACAAGAGCCTAGGGAGATTACTGATGCCATGAACAAGAGTGTCAATTGTTAAATCAACAACAGTAGTCACTATGCACTTACTCTCCTTGTAGGATCTCTGTCCTTAATTTGTTGTATTATGTGAATTAACGGTATAACTAGTACTCAAACAGTACTTTATACTTTGTGTTTCTGTGTGGGTGCAAACTGTTGAAATCTTTACTTAGTACGTACTAAATTGATCTTCTATAAAGAGAATTGAAAATGAATCTTGATGTGAATGGGATGGGAGAGGGAGCGGGAGATGGGAGGGTTGCAGGTGGGAGGGAGGTTATGAGGGGAAAAAGCCACTGTAATCCAAAAGTTGTACTTTAGAAAATTATATTTATTAAATAAAAGTGAAAAAAATATAAATGTACGTTTCCCTATCAGCAGTGTTTCCTACTTCAGTGACCCGGTTTCACTTTGGCATTGACTGCTGACTGACTGGAAAGCAGATTGCAGGCTAGGTCGACTCTTCTTTTTCTGTTCTTGTTTTTGGTTAAAATTCTAACATCTGTAAATTAGGATTTGCAAGGAAAGAAAAGGATTATGAACTTTCATTATATTTACATGCCCTCCGGACAACAACTGTTGCCTAGTCATGATTCTATCTAAGCCCCTGACTGCTCATACTGGGCCAGGATGTCTTTCTTTTCCAACAATATATTCCTAAAAGACAGAGAAAGCAGTTGGTCCAGCTGTTTTCACTGTGAGAAACATACTTGGAGGTGTCCAGTCTGATGGGATTAGATGGGCTGGAACTACTGCATAGGTCCCTCCTCCTTCATTCCAGCATTTTTCATTCCTAAAGGCAGGGCCAGCCTGTTTTTTTTTTAAAGCATTTCAGATTGGGAGATTTTTTTTTTAAAGCTTTATCCATGGCACAAAGACATTTGTATTTAGCTCCATGTATCAGCTGAAAACCCTGTCCTAGAGAGATTTTCTGAATTTTCCAAACTTTGATGGTGCTAAGTATTTTGGAGTTTTCATTCAGTTGGTAGATAATTTGCACATATTTATAATTATACAATTATGATATTTCAAAAGATGAAGATTTTCTGGGTGAGGTTACTGGCAAAACAGTCGTGGGTGTAAACGTGCTGCACCTTACATTTTCCCATTGCAAAATTACTGATAGCAAGTTCCTGTGTCCACTTTCGAGTCTGAGTTCTACCTCTGGCCTGCCATTGTACTGGATCCTCAGCATCATGGTTATTCGTGGAGCAAAAACTTTCAGCTATGTGTTTACTTGCAGTATCTAACAGTTCTCCATGTGAGAAAATGGATACACTCATGTAGAGAATTGAGCAAAATTACCATGATTTCATTTCAAAAGGAATGAT